TCTAAAATATGCTCATGCAGAATATGTGCTTTATAAGTAATAATAAACAGCCAATATGCTAGTATAATATGCATGTTAATAAGCAACTAGTTAATAGTGAGAATTGGTGCTTGAAATTGTTAAAGCTTTTTAACCTCCTAGTTACATTGTTCAGTGTGATGTGTGGGAAGATGGCGGCTAAAGATCACACGCACCTGGCAGGGCAGCGTGTGGTTTAAAAAAGCCAACTATTTTCTCAAGATTTGTTTCATCTATACCCTTTTCATCTAATTGGATTTTAATGTCGTACATTTTAGTAATATTGGTACTAACGGTGCAACATCGATATATTAATGAAAACAACGATGGAGTTTTCCCGTTGGTTTTGAGGAGTCAACACGCACTGTTTTCTAAGATCCTAAACAATGGGAATGTAAAGTCGGCTTGTACCCCAGTAACTCGTGAAAAGGTATTATCATCCAACAACGACTCACGGCTGGGATATGTTCAGCTCGCATTAATATTACTCTTGGCTGGTGATATAGTCCTTAATCCAGGTCCTCAACCATCTGGAATAACGGGTCCTGGCTGTGTACAGTCTCCTACGGCACGATCATATAATGGCGACGTCGGCGTGAATATTGACAACAGTTGTCTAATAAATCCGACCACGACTGTTCCACTCCTGTTGTCCCAGGGACTTCAGCTTCAGCTTCCCGTGTCGTGGCTTGGTCTATGTAGTGCGGATTCCTGTGGATTCCTTATCGGGGATGCCGACGCCGGCGGCTTCGGGCCCTGTTTGTGTCGGCCCAGTGGTGCCGACTCTTCTGGGGTTCTCAAACAACGATGCCGCTGGTGTGTCTAATCGTGTAGGTGTTCGTGCGCGGAGTGGACTGGATCCAGTGTATTTGTATGAGGCGCAAGCTGGCTTGCAAAGTGCTGAATCCGTTGGTGGTGAGCGTTTGACACGGTTACCTTCAACACCTATCTGTTCGAACGTACATTTGAACAGATCCATCAAACTTAGGAATCCGGTCATGAAAAGGCATCGATCAACAACATTTTTCCAAAGATTGAATCAAGCTAAAGTTGTCTGGGATGCACGATGTAAAGTGAAAGGATTGTTTGGCGGACATTTAAACATCCGGAGTATGACTCCTAAACGCGAACAACTTGAATATTTACTCTGTAATTCCAATATTTACTTTTTCAAGGATTATCAGAAACGATTGATTGGCGGACATTTAAACATCCGGAGTATGACTCCTAATCGCGAACAACTTGAATATTTACTCTGTAATTCCAATATTGACTTTTTAGGATTATCAGAAACTTGGTTGAATCATTCCTCCTCAGAGTCAGTAGTAAATATGCCTGGATATAATGTTTTTAGAAAAGATCGGGATCAGGGGAAGGGTGGAGGGGTTTTATTGCATTTAAAAAGCATTTTCAAATGCAAACAAATTGAATGGCCAAGTGAATTTGGTCTTTTATTTTAATCTGTATGTATCGTAAACTACATACAGTACATACATACATACATGTAGTACAGTACTACATATCGTAAACTATTTTTATGACCAATTGAAACAACTCGTTAACCATTGCGATCTGAAAAAGGAAGTAATTATCATGGGAGATTTTAATATCAATTGGAATGAAAGTAAGGAAAGAAAAAATTTAATGCAGATCTTTGATTATTTTAATTTTACACAACTGATAGAACAGCCTACTAGAATAACCACTCTGTCTAAAACTAGAATAGATTTATTGTTTACAAATAAACCTGAAAGAATTTTAAAGCATTATAATTTTTTGACAGGATCATAATGAAATTTTCTTTTCAAGAAAACTTACAAAACAACGCTTTTTAAATTCATTTAAAAAGCCTGTTTAGCAGGATATAATCCCTAAATATCAGCAACAAAATCTTGGAATAGCTTTGAAAGAGATAGATTGGAGTGAAGTCCTCCTAAGTGGGGACATAGAGGGAGGATGTGATTATTTTTTGGGAAAAATTAAAGAAGTGTTTGAGTTGTTTACTAGAAGGGGACGGTTAACAAAAAGAAAAGGGAATACACTGCCCTGGGTTAACAATGAATGTAGGAAATTGATAAAGGATAGAGATCAGCTCCTTATTACTGATCGTTATAAATATACTTCTATGAGGAATAAAGTAATCCAGACTTTACGAAAGACCAAAGCCAGTTTTTTTATGGATATAATTGAGGGATCGAAAGGGGATGGGAAACAAATCTGGCAAACTATTAATAAACTAGTTGGAAAACAAAAGAATATGGATAAAAGTTTTGAACTTAAAATTAATAATATTTTAGTAAAAGATCCATTAACTATAGCTACTAATTTTAATACATATTTTTAAAATTCAGTTGACGAAATAACCCAGCTTTTTACCTTAAAATATATTACTTATAGACCTATTAATTGTGCCCAACCTATTTTTCAAATAGAGGAGGTCACCGAATTAGAAGTAGCTAATATTATTGACGCATTAAAAAGCTCTAAAGCAAAGGATGCCTATGGGCTTGATACACATTTTTTTTTAATATAATAAAGATTCCTTAGTAGGCCCAATAACACATATGGTAAATTTGTCCTTTAGGCAAGCAGTTGTTCCATCAGCCTGGAAGGTGGCTACAGTTACTCCAATTTATAAATCTGGAGATAAAACTAATTTGAGTAACTATAGGCCAATTAGTATCCTTCCGATTATATCTAAGGTAGCAGAAAAATGGGTAGCTAAGCTTCTGACTAAGGAGGTTCCACAAGGCTCCATCTTGGGACCAATTTTATTTTCACTTAATATTAATGATTTACCTGGAGTATGTAAAGATGTAAATGTTCAGTTGTATGCAGATGATGTAGTCATTTTTACTCATGCTAATAACTTTGAAAAAGCTTCGATTACTTTGACTTCTGCAATGACCAATGTTCAGGAATGGCTTACCAAATCAGGTTTATTATTGAACACAAAAAAAACTGTGTGTATGATGTTTGCAAAACAGCCAGTAGGGATGACACATTCTAAGGTATTTCTGAGAGGGGAGGAGCTTGAAATTGTTAAAGAGTTTACATCCCTTGGGGTGACTTTGGATTCTGCTTTAACTTTTAAAAGTCATGTGAAAAAGTTGTGTAATATTGTAAAGTTTAATTTAAAGAATTTTAAGTATATTAGGCCATTTTTGACAGTCGGTGCTGCTAGGTTGTATTTATACTCAATGATTTTTTTCTCATATTGAATATTGTTTTAATAGTTGGTCATTTATAAGTGGCACAACTCTAAAGACAATAGAATCATTGTATAAGAAGGCGATAAAAGTGTTAGATAAAAAAAACCCGTCATTTCATTACTGTAATATTCTAAAAAAACAATCTATTGAGTTTTGAAAATGTTAAATTTTTGAAATATGCATGTTTTATTTATAAGGTCTTGAATGGGCTTGCTCCCCCTCCGTTTATCGAATTTATAAAACCGAGGACAGATTGTAGTATTGGGTACTAGGTCTATTATTAGAGGGGACTGTGAGGTGTCATATAGGCGAACATCTTTTGGACAGAAAGTATTATCTGTAATAGGGAGTAAATATTGGAATAGTTTACCGCAGTCAATAAGACAATGTTCTACTTATCATACCTTTAAAGATCATTTCAAAAACTGGCTTATGACGAATCAGTTGTGTAAACATTTTACTTAGAAATTTTAAAATGTCTTTTATGTGCTGTTGTATCTATTTTTGAGTCTGTGTCCTTGTGTGTACCTGCCTAGGGACTGCGGAAGTAAATTAGCAATGGTGCTATAATCCGGCTTGTTTACATTCTGTATTACTACAAATGTTCATTAACATGCATTGTCCCTATCAAATAAATAAACAATAACAATAACAATGTGATCAAATTAGATGTGTCCTATTAAAACCAGGCATCTGTACCTGACCAACGTCTCGTTTCTATTTCTGATACTCTGCAGCTTTCATTTCACACGGATGTGGAAATTAATTATAATTACGAATATCCTGTGATATTTTCCCCCCATAAATTGCATGTTATATATTTAAATATCTTCTGAAAGCTTGCAACATTTCCGTTCAACATTACATCATTTCACCAATTGACAAAAGAAAAGTTCTTTTTTTTTTAAATGTTGACATGTTGGATTGAAAATAAAGCTAAAAAATGAAACTCTTGCTGGTTTAGTCTCATGATGATGATGCTTCATTTGAACATTTCCTGAGCACTGTGTTTGCTTCGACTGAATTATTATTAATAATTCGATTAGTGACTGATGACCTGACGTGATTCACGGCGCTTCAGCTTGACATTAACATCAGATTCAAAGACTTTCTCTCGTCATGAGCACCTCTTCACCTGCTCAGATTTTTACAGCACTGCTTTCTGTTCCCACACGGTTACCATAGCGATGAACGTCAAGCTCCAGACGTCCTGCATGGTTACAGTCTGCAGTATTGTGTATTTGAAAGCGCACTCGTTAGGGTTCAGGACATTTGACCGTCTGTACGGCTGCAAAACTCCCATTTCGGACTGACTTTGTTACATAATGTACTCAGCCTTACAAAAGTGCTTTATTTTGAAAAAATTAATATTTTTATTTGCCAAGGACACATTAAATTGATCAAAAGTGGCAGTAAAGATGTATAATGTGACAAGATTTCTATTTCAAATAAATGCTGTTCTTTTTAACTTTCTATTCATCTCTGAATCCTGAAAAATAAAATGCATCACGGTTTCCACAAAAATATTGAGCAGCAAATCAGCATATTAGAATGATTTCTGAAGATCATGTGACACTGAAGACTGGAGTAATGATGCTGAAAATACAGCTGCGCATCGCAGAAATAAATTACAGTTTACAGAGATTCACATAGAAAACAGTTATTTTACATTATAATAATATTTCATAATTTTTTACAGTATTTTGATCAAATAAATGCAGCCTTGCTGAGCAGAAGAGACTTCTTTAAAAACTTCTCCTCCCCCACCAGTGACCCCGAGCTCAGGCGTCCTCCCCTCTGCTCCCCGTGACGTTGCCCCCGTCCTCGTGTCCAGCCGCTTCGTGCGCCTCAGCTGGCAGCCCCCGGAGGAGACGCGCGGGACCGTCCTGACCTACGGCGTCTTCTTCTCCGAGGAGGGAATCAACAGGTATGTGTTCACCTGTGGCCGAAACTATATCAGCCTTACATGTTTCAACCAATCACATCCTAATCCATGCTGCATTATGAATATTCAGTTGTAAACACATCAAATGTGTAGTAGAAATGTTTTTTTTAGAAATTGTTGTCCGCTTCAGACTCATTATAACTCAGGTTACTTTATCATGACGTTTTTTACGCTAACAATAGTTTACTACATTACATGAGCTACCAATGAATCATATACAGTGGTGTGAAAAAGTGTTAGCCCCCTTCCTGATTTCTTATTTTGTTGCATGTTTGTCACACTTTAATGTTTCAGATCATCAAACTAATTTAAATATTACACAAAGATAATGCAAATAAATACAAAATGCAAAATAAATGCAGCCTTGCTGAGCAGAAGAGACTTCTTTAAAAACTTTTGACCAGTAGTGTATTAAGTTGATAGAACTGTGGAGTCTTACGGTTGTTGAGCAGCATGTCTGAGCTTGGCTTCATTCGAGTGTTTAATCAGAGTTTGTGAGGAAGCATCGCTTCTGTTTATCACTACAACACCCGCCGTGTGTTTCACTGTGTGTGTGTGTGTCTGTGACTGTGTGAGTGTGTGTGTGTGTTTGAGTGTGAATGTGTCGTGTGACATTGAGAGAATCTCATCAGAACTGTGAAATCACTATCAGCACACACACACACACTGATAAACAGATTCACGGCTCCAGACTGACATGAACGGAGAGTCCAATCTGAGTCCGAATGACAGAATTCATGTTTATTTCATCCCAGTCTGGATCTGATGCTGTCGTGTTCTGTCTGTCATCTCATTCGGACTCACGGCTGCTTGTGTGTGTGTGTGTGTGTGTGTGTGTGTTGATGCTCCGTGTTTTACTGCTGCCTGATCTCTGATGCTGTGATCTTCCTTATCGCTCTCTTTTCTTTTCTTCCTGATGTCTTCTGTTTGTGTGTTTTCTTTCCTTATCTTCTCATTTCATTGCTCATGCTCCTCTCGTTCTGTTGT